AATGAGCTAGTCAAGTAGAGGCAAACTAGTGACATTAAGTTTGTCTATGTATTCACACATGTATCATGTTTCCGGTTAATACAATTCTAGCATGAATAATAAACATTTATCATGATATGAGGAAATAAATAATAACTTTATTATTGCCTCTAGGGCATATTTCCTTCAGGCAGTAGAGGCGGCACAAAGAAAAATGCAGGGGATGGTTCCTACTGCTGACAGTTCACCATTGGGTCTACTTCCTCCTCTGTTCCCATCAAGATCTCACGTGGTGTCATATGCTAGAGGCGAGGGTGGATAGGAGTAAGAATGCGGAGGCCCCTCCTCTCAGTGGCAGGGATGAGCGTAGGAGGAGTGGAGGCGCATGATCTTGACAACAGGACATCAGGTATGTTTGCATGAGTGTGCTTTTTCTTTAATCAGTTAATGATTATCCATCTGCTGGTTCATCGCTTCAATTTCATGAACACCAAGACATAGGCCGGGAAGGTGCCCTGGATAGAGAGAATGGAAGAGAGGACATGCATAGGAACATTGAGGTACCTCCAATTGAGAGGCTTGGTTAGCCTGCTAATAAGCTACATACCGCTAGGAGCCTCATTGTCCAAATTGTCATGGACCATAGACTATCTGGTGTTGTTTTGCTATTGAAAAGATTATGATTCACATCAAAAAGTTTAAGGTTTGTTCTTGAATTCCATTCATGATGTTCATGGTATGCTGCTTATAATCAGGTTTAAAATTTTGATGTACATACTATTGTTTTCCGGTGTTGCATTTCACATTCATGCGCATGAACATTAGGATTCATCTAAACATGAATTTGTGTTAGATCAATTTTTTTTGTCCTGGTATACCACTTACGCATTTATGAAAGCTATTTAAAAAGTGAAAGCTACTCCTTGTTATTTCTTCAATGCTATATCTCACTTTGTAAATACTACACTATTCCTTTTTTTAGGAAAATGGAAGGAGTGATGAAGAACTGAAACATAGTTTTTATTTTCATTGGAATAAGACCAAATAATATGCCGTCAACATAATTGAGGGACTAATCCAGGCGTCTTTGATTTTGATAGTGTTGACCTAATTGTCCCTGGTTACACTCATCTTCAAAGGGCATATCAACATAATTCCAGCTACTTTTCATGTGGACAGGTGTAGTAGTGCTTCGGATCATTTACTAATTATCTGAGAATACTACATCATTCCTAGGCTTTTACAATAATGGAATGGATGTTCGTTCACATGTAAGTAGACAAATGACATGAAAAATAAATGTAAAGATCTTAGTGTAGTTTAACAACTATAGTTTCTACCTTGTGAACGTAAGGAATAATATCTACCCTGCACCGGGGGAATCACTGAATAACGGTCCCATGTAATTGTGACTGATTATAGGTTGCCATTATAAACATGTATGATATTCTAACTTCTACCAGTGATATGTGTGTAGATGTTCAAGGAAGTTTAAGCAACCTGCTCATTACAATGAAATGAGAGAAGTTTAAGGAAGGGGGCATTTTAGTCTGGTTTTCTTAGCTAAATAATGAACTTGTTTTTCTTAACCTTTTTTTGTCCCAAAAATGTTATTGTGTTTGAAGGACATAAACATTGACATTGCAACTACATTCAAATCCTCTTGTCATGTATGGGTCTGAAGTCCGTATTTCGAAATTCAAAGAAGGTCAAAATGAATGTTTAAGATGACAAAATGTCTTTGCTCCTATCACTTTATGGTATCCTGAATTGACATGTGAGGTTACTGCCTACTCCCTCCATTTCTAAATATAAGTCTTTTTTAGAGATTTCAATGCAAACCACATACGGATGCATATAGACATGTTTTAGAGTGTAGATTCACTCATATTGCTCCTTATGTTGTAACTTATTGGAATCTTTGAAAAGACTTATATTTAGGAATGGAGGGAGTAGATTAAAGCACGACCAAAATTTGGAATTTTGTGCACACGTCGTTTTAACTCCACTAGGTTTCTGAAGAGGCTAACTATAGTTCGGTAATGGACATACATTCTTTCAAGAATTTAAGGTATTACTCACTGAATTTAGTAGCTCATTTTCTGCATATTCTAACTACTGAATGATAAAATGATATGCTGCTTGTGGCAGTTGTTTCTTGTTTTATTGGATGTTGGAGCTTTTAATTGTAATTTTATCTATTTATCTACTTGTTATTCATGAATAGTAGCACCAGTGAGGCCTATATACTTATTGGACATATGCCAATCATACTCACCTCAAGAAAATCACACCTAATGTTATTCTTGTGATACGCAGGAGTATGCACCAAGCTGGACAATTTTTGGTTCCTCTTGGTAAGAAATATATTGCCTGTGCAATAAGCTTAACCAGTTTGGCAGGAGCATACACAGAGAGGGACTAATATAAGAGCCATGATAGCTCAGTGTGATGGTCTGTGGTAGGTACTAAGTTGGCCTATTCTGGTTTATCTTACACAACACGTTGAGTCTAAGTTGGTGGCTTAAATGAGGAATTTATTCTAGTACTTGGATGCATTCTGCCCCTCCCCCTCTTTATTTAGTGGATTAGCAAATTACTAATACATAGCATGATGCGTAATGAACTTCATGTAAATGGAAGATTGCCATTTTGAGTTGATCACAATATTTTTCATAGATTATTGGATGACAGTCTACTTTGTGGGTAACCTAAATTAGTGTAGTTTTTTTTTTACTTTTCTAGCTTTTTGTTTGGAATCAAATTCAGTACTGCCACCGCCAAGTATAATGAGAAATGGAATGGTTTGTAAAACTTCATTTATTTTTTTCTTTGTAGGGTGTCTTCAATTAGATGACGGTTATAGCATCCGCGTATGTTGTCATTGCTTGCAGCACTGTTTGCAACATTTTACGTTGTTGATTGAAGCATCAATTAGTGCCGCTCGTAGCACCACAACTACGCGAACGTCACTCGATTGAGACTTCGTTAAGTCTCAGTCGACTGAGTTCTAGGCCATACCCTCAGGATAATCATCTGATTTGCGTGTGCGATGACAATCGAGGCCTAGATGTGTTTCTATGTCATCGAAAACAGCTCCTTGTGCAAGGGTGTCCTTGTTTGGGGGTCATCTAGTGGACTTCAATGGAATGATTACACTTCTTGGAATAGAGTACGTTCCCGTGTTCGGTGGTGAAGTGGGACGGAACGCACCGGCTCCACTCAAGGTAGTTAATATACACACCGGCACACACTACCACCGCAGTGCCACACAGATGCATGCAACAGAGTTGGATCACAAATGGACGTGCGAAATTTGACGTACGTGGCTTCGCAGCCGTCTGTACGCGTACGTATAGCGCACAGAAGACGGTGTTTGTGATTAAGACCTGTAGTTAGTTAATCATGTGTATTTTGTGTGAATGACAGTTGACAATGTATTAGGCCGTACGTAGTCATGCATGTGTTGGACAGGGCCGGTCCTGAGGTTTCAGGGGCCCGGGGCGAAACCAAAACTTGGGGCCCCCTTGACATAAACATTATAGGAATATATATGATTGCTTAAATTGCTTAAATGCCCCAAAAATGCGGCAAAAGCGACATTCTTATCAAATAATTTATACATATTACCTTTGAACCTTTTCTAATAATCCTTCATAAAATTCACTTATGATGGGGCCGACAAATCCTCTTTATAGTTCATGTTTCATTTTTTTCTCTGTTTTACCGAGTGCAAAGTCAACATGATAATAAGCACTGCTAAAAGACGAAGTACATAGTCTGATGTTACCAAAATTAAATTCCATCAATGCTCGATCACTGCAATATAGATAGAGGAAGTATATAGTCTGATGTTACCTCGGATCCCTGGACTGTATTCTTCCCTTTGTCTCTGCTGAGATCCCTGACCTTTTGAGTAAGTAGCATGCATGATTTACCTTAAAAAATGAATTAAAAAGAACACAATAGCCCTTGGTTTCTTACCATTAGAGATTAGTATAGATATACGAAGTACATAGTGATGTTTCCTCGGATTGATCGGATCAACGTTGATCACCTGATCAGGCAATCGCCATGATGTGATTTAGACTGACATGAGATGAGAGGCGCTTGGCAATTTGCGTCACTATGTATGTGTCCATCACCTGGAGACCGGAGAGTGGCGTAGTTCGCCGGCACGCAACTTGTAACCTGCGTCTCCACCGTCAGATCTTGGCCGGCTGCATGGCCGGACTGACTCAGATCCAACATGGCCATCATCAGATAGAACAACGCGGGCCAGCACGTCTCCCTGAGGTCTGGAATGAACGTGGCTCCACCATCCATCCCAACCACCGGCTTGCCGTGAGAGGAAGGGAAACAAGCAATGGCGGCTGCGGGCTGCCTCCGATCCGGTTTGTTCAGTTAAGCCATGAGCATACGAGATCGGGGAATAGTTTTTTTTTAGGGATAGATCGGGGAATAGATGAATTACGGAACGCCGTCGTGATTAGAAGGAATCCGCTAGGGCAACGCATACAGGAGATCGATCGACGAGGAACCAGCGGCTCTGAGGGCTAGCTACCTGCATCGGATGACAACACGTACAGGCCCTGTGTGCATTCGCTGCCCAGCATCCCGGGCCGTCGCCTAGGTGCATAGAACCTGGGTGGGGGCCCGGGGCGGCCGCCCCCTCTGCCCCCCCTCAGGGCCGGCCCTGGTGTTGGATGATGGACGGATCATGTTGGGTCGCACGTAAGGACAAAGGACTACATTTGTCATAACGAACGGCGTACATTCATGACGGCATGCAGCAGTTTTATTTACTATAGTAGTTCTTCTCCACACTGTAATTCCGTATCTGGCAAGCTCAGCAGATGCGCAGCAAGCCGCCCGATCACCGGTACAATTTTTAGCTCACACGTACGGCCATATATATATATAACGCACGCCGTCGGTCACCGGTGCAGGAAGGCTGATAAGTCCCCATCGATCGTCAATCGGCTGGCATGGCATGCAGATGCAGACCGGCTCAGAAAAGATCAGCAGATGGCGCACGCGTTGGGGCCCTCCTCGGTGTTCACGAAGTAGCACGGGTGCGGGTGGTGCGGCGGCGGGTAGCACGGCAGGCACACTGGGACGAGCGTGCTCCCGTCCTTCTTGTCCCCGCACCCGCAGTCGTCCTTCTTCTTCTTCTCCTCCTCCTCCTTCGCCGGGCCGACTGAGACCTCCTTCTTCTTCTCCTCCTCCTTGGCGGGGCCGACGGTGTAAAACAATAGGTTTAGGGAACTGGCTCAACCCTCTAGGGGTGGCCTATCTCATATATATATAACAAGGGGGTACAACGTTACATCGTACGTATTCATATACGTACACATATACAGGAGCTATACAGTCTAACACCCTCCCTCAATCTTAGCCACTTCCTAAAGAATCTAGAAGGGTAAGATTGCGCCGACAATGCTCAAACTGTGGAAGAGGTAACGGCTTGGTGAAGATGTCTGCAAGTTGATCTTTGGAGGAGATGAACTTGATCTGTAGTTGCTTCTGAGATACCCGTTCCCGTACAAAATGATAGTCCACTTCGATGTGTTTCGTTCGGGCATGAAATACTGGATTAGCAGATAGGTATGTAGCACCGATGTTATCACACCAAAGAATAGGAGACTGTGATTGAGATATACCCAACTCCTGAAGTAAAGACTGCACCCAGATAATCTCTGCAGTTGCATTAGCCACAGCCTTATACTCAGCTTCAGTACTGCTACGTGAAACAGTAGCTTGTTTCCGAGCATTCCAGGCGATTAAAGTAGAGCCAAAGAACACAGCATAGCCCCCCGTGGATCGCCTGTCATCCGGACTGCCAGCCCAATCCGCATCAGAATATGCTGAAATGATCCCAGAGGGATTCGGCCGAATGTGTAATCCATAGGACAATGTGAAACGAATGTAACGCAAGATGCGCTTAACTGCAGACCAATGAGCATCACGTGGTGCATGGAGATACTGACATAGCAGACATAGGTGTAGTAGTTGGTTTGCACTTAAGCATTCCAGCTCGCTGCAGCAAGTCCAAACAGTACTTCTTTTGTGTCATAACAAGACCATCAGAGAGAGAAGCGACTTCCACACCAAGAAAGTAGTGAAGCTTCCCAAGATCTTTGACTGCAAAATCAGCACCAAGGGACCGAACAAGAGCAGAAGCAGCCGACTGAGAAGAACTGACAAGTATAATATCATCCACATAGACCAGCAGATACATGATAACTTCGGGCCGTTGGAGAAGAAATAACGAAGAGTCAGCAGCCGAGGATGCAAAACCATGAGCACGGAGAGCTGTCGCAAGACGAGCATGCCAAGCACGGGGAGCCTGCTTCAGACCATAGAGTGCTTTCATAAGACGACACAGATAATCAGGACGATCAGGATCAGAGAACCCTGGTGGCTGCCGCATATAGACCTCCTCCTCCAGGACACCATGCAGAAAAGCATTCTGCACATCAAGCTGACGAAGAAACCATCCCCGAGTAACTGCAAGAGAGAGAAGAAGCCTGATGGTAGTCGGTTTAACAACTGGGCTAAAGGTGTCATCATAATCAAGACCATAACGCTGCCGAAATCCTCGAGCAACCAGCCGCGCCTTGTAGCGCTCAATAGAACCATCAGAATGCTTCTTCACTTTGAAAACCCATTTGGAATCGATGACATTAACTCGGGGTGGTGGAGGAACAAGGGTCCATGTCTTGTTACGAAGAAGAGCATGATACTCCTGTTCCATAGCCTCTCGCCAATGAGGTATGCTGAGAGCAGCTTGATACGTACGAGGCTCAGAGGTAGGATCCGCACGGATGGCAGCCAGGCATGCAGCCAACCAGGCAACCGTACCATCAATACGCTGTTTGGGCTGAAATACTCCACTGCGACTCCGTGTATGTGGTCGTTGAGGAGCCACAGGAGGCACATGTGGCGGTGATGGCGACGCCTCAGAGTGTACAGACGGCGAAGCAGGCGATGACGATGATGGAGAGGCCTCGACCACCGATGGAGATGCCTCAAGGAGCAACGGCGACTGGACTCCAGGGGCAGGTGAGCTCAGACCAGGCGAGCACGGCCCAGCCGCACCAGACCGAGTGGGTGACGAGGTCGGCGTGATGGTGGGCCGAGAGAACGGCGAGGCCTCCTGGCGAAGCGGCGAGGCCGGCTCAGCAGATGTGGTGACAGGCCGAGACGACGAAACCTCCGGGCGAAACGACGAGGCCGGCGCAGAAACTGACTCCGGGCCCATGGGCGACAAAGATGGCCCGGTGATCAAGGGCGCCGGTCCAGAGGCCGGGGGCACTGAAGCAGTCAGCGTAGGCGGAGGTTCGGCCCGATGTGCATGAGCACGATCGCCGAGGCCATGCAGGGACACCTCACGATCATCAGGAGGAGACGATGGCTCCTCCAAAATCTCCAACCGAGCCCCACGTCCAGTGCCTGCACCATGGTTAGGCAGCAAAATAGGAGAGTATGCAATATCATCAAATTGGTCAGATGCAACGGAGGATGAATGCAAAGGCAATGGTTCAGCAGTGGACATAGGAAGCTTCGCAAAAGGAAAGACTTGCTCATCAAACACAACATCCCGAGATATGTAGACACGATTTGTGGGAACATGAAGACATTTGTAACCTTTATGAAGAGAGCTATAATCAAGAAAAACACACTTCTTGGAACGAAACTCAAGCTTGCGTTTGTTATAAGGACGGAGATGTGGCCAACAAGCACACCCAAAAACCTTAAGGAAGGTATAATCAGGTTGTTCATTAAGGAGAACTTCTAGTGGAGTCTTCATATTCAAAACACGAGTGGGAGTGCGGTTTATGAGAAAACATGCAGTGGTAAGGGCATCACTCCAGAACCGAAACGAAACCGATGCATGGGCCAAAAGAGTAAGACCAGTTTCAACAATGTGACGATGCTTACGTTCCACAGAACCGTTCTGTTGATGTGTATGTGGACATGCTAAACGGTGAGCGATCCCAAGCGACTGAAAGAAGGAGTTGAGGTTGCGATACTCACCCCCCCCCCAGTCCGACTGGACATGAACAATTTTGTGCTTGAGAAGGCGTTCAACATGTTTTTGGAACTGAACAACAATGTCAAACACATCAGATTTGCGTTTAATAAGGTAAAGTCAGGTAAAGCGACTATAAGCATCAACGAAACTGATATAATAATTGTGACCACTGACAGAAGTCTGAGCAGGACCCCATACATCAGAGAAAACAAGTTCTAAAGGATGTTTAACCTCACGACTGGACTCTGAAAAAGGAAGTTGATGACTTTTCCCTTGCTGACAAGCATCACACACGGCTACATCTTTACTACTAGACATGCTAGGAAGCTCATGACGACGCAAAACATGACGAACGATAGGTGTGGCCGGGTGACCAAGACGAGCATGCCACTGTGACGGAGATACCCGAACTCCACTGAACACACGAGCGACACCAGGATGCTCCAAACGATAGAGGCCCTGGCACAACCGCCCGCTAAGAAGAATGTCCCTCGTGCCCCGATCCTTAATAAAAAGATCAAAAGGATGAAATTCACAAAGCACATTATTGTCACGTGTGAGTTTAGGAACAGAAAGAAGATTACGTGTCACAGAGGGAACTCTAAGCACATTACGAAGCTGAAGACTCCTATTTGCATGCCTAGTAAGAATAGATGCTTGACCAATATGAGATATATGCATACCTGCTCCATTGGCGGTGTGGATTTTGTCGGAGCCATGGTAGGGTTCGCGAGTATGGAGCTTGCCCATCTCGCTCGTCAGATGCTCCGTTGCCCCGGAGTCCATGTACCAGTGAGGATCAACAGAGTAGGACTGAGTGTGCCCTTGCTGCTTTGTGGCCGTCGGTTTTTCTGCCATGGCCACTTGGCGCACAAAGTTGCGTGTGTCTTTGCCATCATTACCGAGGCCCAGAAAACTCTTCTGAAAGCGCTTGTGACACTTAGAGGCCCAGTGTCCATCACGACCACAAAGTTGACACACACGAGGACCGCCAGCCCCCGGTAATGTTGCAGTAGGAGGGGGGGCCGAAGTGGGCGGTGGTGGCAGCACCGCAGGGACCCGAGATGATGAAGATGCGCGGCCACCCTTCGTGGCGGTGTTGGCCGAGAGGGAGCCGCTGCTCCTGGAGCGACGCGTCTCAACCCGTTGCTCAGTGAGAAGGAGACGGGAAAAGACCTCGTGCGCCATCATGGGTGTGGAGTTGCCCCGCTCGTTAATGATCTCGACTAAGGCATCATACTCCTCATCAAGACCATTGACAATAAACGAGTTGAACTCGGAGTCAGTAAGGGGCTGTCCAATAGAAGCCAGCGTGTCGGCGAGGCCCTTGACCTTGTTGTAGAACTCGGTGGCAGTGGAGTCAAGTTTCTGACACTCCCCAAGTTGACGACGGAGCGAAGAGACACGAGCCTGCGACTGTGCTGCAAAGGAGCGCTCAAGGATGGTCCAAGCCTCATGAGACGTCTTGGCGAAGACAACAAGACCGGCAACGGCCGGAGTGAGCGACCCCTGGATGGAGGAGAGGTTCGCTTGGTCCTGCCCCATCCAAACACGGTGCGCCGGATTGTAGACCGGGCCGTGCACGCTGTCGATAAGCGCGGGAGGACAGGGGAGAGAACCGTCGACGTAGCCAAGCAGGTAATGACTCCCAAGAAGCGGGAGGACCTGCACACGCCAGAAGATGTAGTTGTCCGCCGACAACTTGATGGTGATAAGATTTCCGAAGTGAAACGGCGGCGGCGGTAGAGAACCCGTGGAGACTGCCGGAGGCAAAGGCGCCATAGGGGCAGTGGCGACAGGCACAGCCGCGGAGATCGATGGCGCAGGAGCCGCGCCCGACGCGGTGAGACCGGCCATCAGGGCCGAGTCAGAAGCCTCCATCGGGGCAGCAGCGTTGGCGCTGGCGAAGGCGGGCAGGGAGTCATCCGTCGTGGCGCTGGAAGTGCGGACCACCAGCGTGGTTCCCGGCGACGAGGAGAAGAAGGAGCCGACGCTCCTCGTCCCGATCGGGAGTGAAGCAGCCGCGGCGGAGTCGAGGGGCCGGGAGAAAAGGGCCGCCAGGGAGGCCGGCAGCTAGCTGGCCGTGGAGGAGCCCAAGGCGGCTGATCCCGACATGGTGGCGGCGGCGCGATCGAAGATGGCGACGGCGCGACGTGGGGCGGCGGCGGCTTGGGGTGTAGCGGAAGCGTAGACCTAGTTTGATACCATGTAAAACAATAGGTTTAGGGAACTGGCTCAACCCTCTAGGGGTGGCCTATCTCATATATATGTAACAAGGGGTACAACGTTACATCGTACGTATTCATATACGTACACATATACAGGAGCTATACAGTCTAACAGACGGAGACCACCTGCCCCGTGCAGAAGCGCCTGCGCAGCTTGCCGACGACGTGGACGGGGTTGACCGTGCCCACGACCGTCATCTTTTCGTGCTTCGTGTCCACGACGATCTCGTCGATACCTGGGGAAGGAAGGAAGCCACGGTCGCCGTCGTCAGAAGCGCCAAACTGAGATATTGATGGGTGAGCGACCTCCATGAATGCATGCTTACGACGAGGCAGGCCAAGAACACTAGCAAGCAAGATACAATGCCGGACAGATTCGGAGAGAAAGAAGGGGAGTAAGTCACCACAGAGAGCGGAGACGGCCTTGATCGCCTTGCGCTTCCCCGTGTCGTCGTGCAGGTCCAGCTTCACCACCACCTTCTGCAGCCGTCAGGGCACCAACCGATCAGATCAAACTAACTACCAGTAAATCAGGAGCTAGGCGTGGTATAAATTACAAGAGAAATCAAGGAATGCCAGTTCGATCGGCCGTAAGCAAAGCAATGACCTTCACGGCGGCCATCGATCCTCGGATCGACGAATGAATTTGGAAGGGCGGGACGGAATGAATTGGAACGGCGCAGCGGCTTCTCTCCCGGCGACGATGGAGCTCTATGGGTAGCCAGTGACGCTGGCGGATTTATAGGGTCTAGGATTTTCGCCGTGTGTTGTTGGGAGTTGGGACAGTGGGACTAGGGCGTACTGTAGTCTGTACGTACGTCCGCGGGCGTGTGGCCAGGTCAGGTGTCACAGGTGTGAGCGCTATTGGAGAGCGGAGACCGATCGAGGGGCGTTGTACGCAGGTACGTACGGTGGCGCCGGGGAAGGGCCACGACGGCCGACGTCCTGCCGGAGTCATGGTGCGCGGGGTGGCTGGATCGATTGCGACTTGGCGAGCACAGTAGTATCTTGACCGACTTGGGCATTGTGAGCTAAGTAGGCCGACCGATCTGGCGTTGCGCTACGCTGTCAGTGCTGTCGCTCGCTTGCCATGGTCACGACCCCGTACGTCCCTTGTCCGCAGTTGCATTGCAACAATTTGGTGATGCGATTGCGACGGCCGTCAAGTTATGGCACAAGTGCAGCTAGCGGCGGCGGCAAATGATTAAATGGCGCGGCACCCCAGCCCAGCGGACCAACCAACTATCACCTACCATTGCCAGGACTATAATGTCCAAGCTGGGATTTGCACAAGCATGGATTGATATAGTGACATTGTATCGTCAGTGTCTTTCTAGGTTCTTTTTAATGGAGAGAAACTAGACCAGTTCAAGCCCTCGAGAGGCATTCGACGGGGAGACCCTATCTCCCCTTACTTGTTTTTGATTGCAGCGGAGGGCCTTTCGTGCCTTTTAAAATCTAGTTCTCAATCATCAGTGCTAGGAGGAATCAAGGTAGCTCCAACAGCCCCGACTGTAAACCACCTCTTGTTTGCAGATGATAGCCTGCTGTTTTCCAAAGTCAGTGTTCAGGGAGCGGATGCGGTGTCAAACCTATTGAATGCTTATTGTGGTGCTTTGGGCCAAAGAGTGAATAATGACAAGTCCACTATATTCTTTAGTAGGGGGTGTCCTCAGGCGACCCGCGACAGTGTGAAACTTGTTGTCCATGTCCACAAAGAATCTTTGAGTGAGAAATATCTGGGAATGCCAACAGATGTGGGGCACTCAAAAAATGGCACTTTCAAATACCTTCGGGGCCGTGTGTGGGAAAAGGTCAAGGGGTGGATGGAGAAGCTTTGATCTTCAGCAGGGAAGGAAGTGCTCATAAAATATGTTGCTCAGGCAATCCCTATTTACTCCATGGCGTGCTTCCGGCTGCCGAGAGGCTTGTGCGAAAATATCACATCCATCATAAGGCAGTTCTGGTGGGGTAGCAAGCAAGGCAAACGGAAACCAGCATGGGTATCATGGGAGATCATGACTAGGCCAAAATACATGGGAGGGTTGGGCTTCCGCGACCTTGAGATGTTTAACCTCGCTTTACTAGCCCGACGAGCGTGGAGAGTGCTGAATAATCCTAACTCTTTGAGCTCTTTGATTCTGAAACCAGCATATTTTCCCGAGACAGGAATATTGGAGGCCGAATTGGATGCACACCCTTCGCAGATATGGCGTGCTATAATTGATGGAAGGGACATAATGAAGCAAGGAATCATTAGGAGAATCTGGACGGGAGAGGATACGATGATCTGGGAACACAACTGGATTCCGAGGGATGCTATCCCTAGGCCCATAGTTTCTTTGGTTCACGATCCGCCTACCCGAGTGCATGAAATCATAGAACAAACAACATCCACGTGGAAAGAGGAACAGGTCCGATCTGTATTCATACCTATTGACGCCGAGGCCATACTCAAGATCCCATTGTGCACAATGAGAGTGGATGATTTTTGGGCATGGAGTAGAGAAAAGAGAGGTATGTTCACCGTCTGTTCGACATATCGCATGAACCAGTGCACCAAGCTAAGCCGCGAGAATTGGCTATATGGTACCGAGGGTCCTTCCACCGTCGAGGAGAGTAGCAGCTGGACATCTCTCTGGAATACCCAGGTTCCAAACAAAATTTGTGTGTTCTTGTGGTGGCTGGCAAGGGAGTCTATACCCACATATGATATACTACACCAGCGCAACATGGCTACCTCACCGGCGTGCCAGATGTGTGGGGCGGCGGACTCCTGGAGACACGCCTTGCTCGACTGTGCAATGTCGAGGAGCGTATGGGCCCTGGCACCGGAGCACTTGGTCGGCCAAATGAGTACCTGCGACCAGCAGCGAATCTAGAACGTAATTGTAGGGCAGGCTCAAACAAGCGAGGGGGCACTGAGATAGGCCAAAAAGCAGCCAATTTGTTGGGCTGGGCCCGTATCATGAGCAGCAAAGGCCTAATTTATCCAGTTGGAGGGCAGGCCTAAGCCTATTAAAGTATGTACTGTAGATTCGCCCCTGCCTGCGACAACCCAAGTGCTGAATCATGGTTGTTCACAGTGAAAGACACATTATCACATGAGGAGTTCACCAGACTTGGAGTCACTTTGTGGGAAATCTGGAGCTCGGGGAGGAAACTGATTCATGAAGGGCTGCACCAAACACCACATGCAACAAATGCTTTTGTGCTTTTGTGGCCTCTTTTATCAGCGATCTCCAGGTCCTAGTGAAACCACAAGGGGAGCCTAGGGTGGCTGAACCACGTCCGAACCAATGGGTACCACCAAAAGAAGGAACATGCAAGATCAATGTTGATGCTGCACTCATGAGAACCAGAGCCGTAGGGTCGGTAGCAGCGTTGTGTAGGGATCGTCAGGGAGTTTTTTTGGGCGTGTCCACGATTACCTTTCATGGCATTGATGATGCTACGACGCTCGAAGCCTTGGCTGTTCAGGAATCATTACCACTGGCAGATGATCTGTATGAAAACAGGATCTCAGTGGCCTCGGACTGCAAACTGGTCATTGATGATATTGGACAGAGGAGTGCAGCGGTTTATGGAGCTATCATTAGGGAGATTGTAGATAGTTCAAGAATTTTGTTAATTGCTTTTTTAGCCATGAGTTTAGGAGCTCGAATTTGGAGGCTCACAATCTAGCGAAGCATGTTCTCTCACTTGGTGTTGGCCGTTGTGTGTGGTTAGATAACCCAGATGATCTATCTTTCATCCCTGTAAATATTGTGACGAGTTAAATAAAAGCTTTCCGAGATTGTCTAAAAGAAACCCACCATTGCCAAGGAAAAAAGGAGAGTTCGCACGGGTAGCGGTGGTTCCAAGCAAGTTCGGCCGGTCTCGCCGCGTGAATTTCGCTTCGTCCCGGGCACCCCAAGGTCGACGAACACCACCCAACCTCTATAATTGATCTTGGTTTACCCAGCGATGACCCTCACCCTCCCATTACGCCTGCATGCAGTGACAGCACACCTGCTGGAAGAGAAAAGGAAAAGGAAACCGGGGGACAACTCGGCAGATTTGCAATTGTCAGGGACGTGTAGCGTAGCTCGCGATGCGACGGGTGATCTTATCTTTGCTGCGGCCGGACACATGCATTGAACGTCGCTTCATCAAACATAAACTCTTGCTCTAGTACAGTGGCGGAGCTTGAATGCAATGACGGGGGAGGGGATGAGGAGGGGGGGGGAGGAGGGGGGCAGAAGCAAAGTATACATGTTAAAAGGGACTAAAGAGAATACTTTATTCTAATTATGCCCCCCTAAAAAATTTCCTCCAGGAATTTGTGTTGGGCTTGGGGGGCCATTGCCCCCTCAGATATACACATAGCTCCGCCATTGCTCTAGTAGGTGGACTAGCCATTGCGGATCAGCTGCCATTTTATTTATTTAATGATAATGAAAGAGAGGCTGTCCTCTCCGATTTTCATATAAAGAAACCATCTAGTCTTTTACAAACTGCAAACTACTACGACTAAAGTTCTAATACTACCCATAGTGGGAGTAACGTAAAGAGTAACATAGATAACACCTAAGCAAAAAATAATGCGACAGCTAATTAAAGAGAGATAAATTGAGTAACATAACTAGTTACTCATATTATGAGTAACATCACACATATGAAGACAAGATGAGTCTACAACCTAATAAATGAAATATTACATGACACCACCTTACTCCCCACAATAGAGGTAGTAACATAGACTAGTAACGTATGCATGTCACTAGTCCAAATTACTCCCCACTATGGTAGTCTAAACAAAACTCAACAGGCTTACGTAGCTGGGATTCGAAAAACCTATCAGCGCAAACCTAACCATGCAAGATCACAAAAAGGAGGCAAGCCCATTGGCTAGAACATCAAAATACTTCTTGCTTGCATACTCTTTGGTGATGTTGCCTGGAAAGCTGAAGTTATTTTTTTCTTCCTGTTTTCGTTCCACCGGTAGTCTGTTTGAGCAAAGTATACATGTTAATAGGGACTAATGAGAATACTTTGTTTTAATTATGTCCCCCTAAAAAGAATTCCTTCAGAAATTTGTGTTGGGCTTGGGGAGCCATTGCCCCCTCAGATATACACATAGCTCCGCCATTGCTCTAATAGGTGGACTAGCCATTGCGGATCAGCTGCTTTTTTATTTATTTAATGATAATGAAAGAGAGGCTGTCCTCTCCGGTTTTCATATAAAGAAACCATCTAGTCTTTTACAAACTGCAAACTACTACGACTAAAGTTCTAATACTACCCATAGTGGGAATAACGTAAAGAGTAACATAGATAACACCTAAGCAAAAAATAATGCGACAGCTAATGAAAGAGAGATAAATTGAGTAACATAACTAGTTACTCATATTATGAGTAACATCACAGATATGAAGACAAGATGAGTCTACAACCTAATAAATGAAATATTGCATGACACCACCTTACTCCCCACAATAGAGTTAGTAACATAGACTAGTAACGTATGCATGTCACTAGTCTAAATTACTCCCCACTATAGTAGTCTAAACAAAACTCAACAGGCGTACGTAGCTGAGATTCGAAAAACCTATCAGCGCAAACCTGACCATGCAAGATCAC